CTCCTCCTTCGTCATCTTTTTTTTTTTTTTTTTCCGTCAACTTAACTCAAAATCGACAGCTCCTCCTCCTCCTCCTCTCTCTCCTCCTCCCCCTCCCTTCGTCTTCTTCTCTCCTCCTCCTCCTCCCCCTCCCTTCATCTTCTTCTCGCCACCTTCTCCTCCTCCTTTCTCCTCCTCCTCCCTAAGTCTTCTTCTTCTTCTTCTTCTACTACTACTACTACTTCTTCTCCTCGTAAGTCTTCTTCTTCTTCTTCTTCTTCTTCTTCCGATATTTGAACTTGGTTTTTCCCTCGCTGGTTGTCCTTGCATCCTCTACTTCCACGACACTATGGCGGGCAGTGCCAGCGACATTGGAGGGGGGAGTGGCGGGTCTGGACGAAGGAGGGGCAAAACGGCAGCAGAAAAAGGAAAAGAAAGAGTTGCAAGCACCTCCGCTACACCCACATCCACAGTGACCTCCAAAGACCCCACGCCGGCAATGGACCCTTCGCTGTTCGTTCCACAGGACAAGGCGAGGCAGGACAAGCTGCAGAGGGAGAAGCCTGTGCGGAAGTACGCAGAACAGGGTCAGGAAGCCGGGGAGAAAGCTGCAGAGAGGCGAGTATTGGGTGAGGTGTCGGTTGTGCACGCAGATTTGGAGGGGCATAAGCTCAAGAGCGGTGGAACATTACCTGAAGATGCAGAAGCCGTGTCCATCGCACACAGGGGAAATGGTGACTGAGCTCGTCAACTTTGGGGGGAAAGTGCTGCCGGGTGATAAGAATATGGGGTACTTGCTGAAGAATTACAGGCAGCTGCATGGGATTCCGGAAGGGGCGGTCCATCAGACGGAGAAGGCCGACGAGGTGGTTAAAGTTCCCGCATACGTTGAGCCACAGCCACAACCCAGTGCGGGCAGGGCTGCTCCACCATGTGATGCAGGGGATTTGCACAAGGAGAATGCTTTGGAGGCGGCGGGGGGTGAGGCGTCGGGGTCGAACACACGGCAGTCCTCGTTGCAGCAGTCAACAATAAGGAGGTGGTTGGACAACGATGCGCAGAAGAAACTGGACATTGCATGGGCGGAGGCCATGTTTCGTGCTGGGATCCCGTTCAACTTCCTGAACTTCGAAACCACCCAGAAACTCCACGAAGTGTACCTGCAGGTGGCAAAGTCAAGACCGAAAGTGAAACTGCCGTCCTTCAAGCACATGAGGACCGTCATGTTGGACATTGTGTACATGCGAGTGTAGAAGACGGTGGAGCCGTTGACGACTTGTTGGGATGTGAGTGGGTGTACTTTCATCACATACGGATCGAGTGATCGTCGGGAGCGGCCCGTGATGAGTTTCTTGGCAGCTAAGGTGGATGGGGCAGTTTTGGTGGCGACGGTGTCAATGTCCAGGAGGAAGAAGACAGGACCTGCATTGGCGAAACTTTAGGAGCAGATCATGAGGAAAATCGGACTGCGTCGAACCAATGCGATCTGCACTGACAACGCGGAGGTCAACAAAAGGGCGGCTCAGATCTTGGAGCGACGAACGGACAAGGAGGTAGCAAGGATTCTCTGGGTTCATTGCGCTGCGCATTGCTGCAGCCTTCTCTTACGCGACCTCAGCAAACTCGCTTGGGTGAAGCACACCATTAAGAGGGGCCACACAATCGTGAAGTTCATCAGAAATCACCACAGCACACACAGTCTGGTGATGACAGTGGACGATTCGCTGTCTCTTCTTCGGCCCACGGAGGTGCGCTTTGAGTCAGTCTACCAAATGTTGGAGAGGATATACGACAAGAGGGTGGTGTTGAAGGACATGGTTCATGGTCGGAATGCAGTAAAGTGGAATGCGATCCGATGGTCCACGTCGAAGTTGAGGGCCAGATCGGATCTGGTGTACTTCACATTGAGGAGTGATGAGTGGTGGACGGGGTTGAACAAGGTGGTTGAGGTGATGGAGCCCATGTTCGGCCTCTTGAGGCGGATGGATCACGACGGTACCGGTCCCACAAACCTCGTCGAGTATGACGACATAATAGCGAGGAAGCTTGGCCATGTTGTTCTTACGGTGGAGCAGCGGGCGAGCGTGATGGAGAAAGTCAGAGATCGCATGAAGATGATGCGGCAGCCCATCCACGCAGCAGCCTTTCTTTTGGACCCGCGCAGGAGAGAACCGAGGTGGTTGCATGACCAAGACAGTGCGCTTGAGCAGAATGCCATGCGCTTTCTCACGGGAGGGTTGGAGGTGAATGGAAAGGGCAAGCGCACCTTGACATTTGGAGTGACCTGAATGAGTTCCACAACAAACCTACAAGGAACGGCCCGAAAAGGAATGACGCGAAGATGTGGGACCCCACAGCGAAGGCGGATGTTGACAAGAAGACACCGTCAGAATGGTGGGCAGCACACGGTGGCGACGTGCCCAAATTGCAGAAGATTGTGATCAAGGTTATGGGCATGTGGAGCACCGCATCACCAACGGAGAGGAATTGGGCTTCCATGGACTTCATCCATTCCAAACGGAGGAACAAGTTGTCGCCAGAAAGCTTGGAGAAGCTAGTGTACATACACTGGAACATGCAGCTACTGCGTGTTTCAGAGACTAAGAACAGCGGATTTGTGGACTTGTCGTGTGACTTCGTCCAGCCCACCCCGGAGCCTGAAGAGAACGATGGATCAGTGTCGAAGGGGTCCAGGGATGAGGCTGAGAAGACAGAGGAGGAGCTTGTACCGGAACGGAGGCTCACAAAGACTCCGAAGGGAAGGGTTCCAAAAAATCTCGAGGACAAGGACGAAGAGCTCACGGATGACAGTGATTTGGATGACGAGCTGTGGAAGGGGAAGTGCGGGTTGTCGGAGGACTCAAGTGGCAACGAAGAGGACGACGGCGATGACTCCGATTTCGAGCTACGATCGGAGCCGTCCGTCCCAGGCACGACATACGTCGGAAAGAGGCGGATCAGACGACAATGCAGAGAAGAGCCACGCCCGGCAGCGACGGAGCCCGGGGTAAGGGAAACTACACTGTACAATCCGCAATCTGATGTCGAGTTCGCACGGCTAGACACGGATGTAGAGATATTGCTGGAAACGAGGGTGGACGAAGATGAGGAGGATGCGAACCGTGCCAAGGCTATGGCTGACCGGGAGACCGAACTTGTCAACAAACGTATGATGGAAGAGGAGGCCCGCCGCGCAGCTATCCCGACCCGGAGAGAGATCGAGAGAGGTCTCAAACAAGCCAGGGAGCACCAACAGCAGATCAATCGGTCATTGGAGGTTGTGGAAGAAGGAGAAGAGGAGGAGGAGGAGCACCAGGCTGAGGTGGGAGATTGCATGGAACAGGAAGAAGAGGCGGAGGGCATGATGCAACCACAGGAGGGAGAGGAGATGGAGCACCAAGAAGAAGAGGAAGGCACGGTGCAAGGCGGGGAGGAAGAGCAAATGCCGCAGGAAGAGGAGGGGGAAGGATTGGCGCAGCAGAAGATGCAGCACGGCGAGGTCGATACAGCCCGTGAAGACGAGCGCCATCCCACAACGATAGCAGTCTACACACGCAGGCCCAGGCCAGCACAGTTTTCGGAGTCCGAGGAGAAGATACCGGAATTCCCCGCAATGAGGGAGGTTGTCCAGCATGACAACCTGTGGGTGAGCCGAGTGGGCAGGAAGAGAAAGGAGCCATCACAGGACGCTCCTGCACAGCCGAAACGTCCTCGTGGCAGACCGTGAAAGCAGAAGACCGACACGACCACTACACCGGCTAGAAAAAAGAAACAGCGCCTCAAGCGCAAGACGGTTGTGGAGGATGACCCGGAATCAGCTGACTGCAGCGAACAGCCATCTGAGGATGAGGGCTGCGACACCGATTCCGAATGAGATCAGTATGTCCA